AGTGCTTTTATTTTTCCTGAATCCAAATTGGCAGGGGTTGAGTATGTTTTGTGATGTTATAAATGAATATAGTCTCCTGTGCACGAGTTTCTCGAAGATTTTGGATAGCAATGGTAAGTTTGATATTGGCCTATAGTTGTTTACGTCTGTAGGGTCACCACCTTTATGCATTGGTGTAACCCTTGCTGTCTTGAGTAGTGTCGGGAAAGTGCTAGTTTCTAGTGACTTGTTAAAAAGTAATGTAATAGTATGCGAAAGGACATGGGCCGCTCGCTTGTACAATAATGGTGGGACGTGAGACAGATTCCCCGAGTTATTTTTAAGTGACTTTATGATCGCGGTGACTTCCGTGGGCTCAGTTGGTACAAGATTGAAGGAATTTGGGAAATTCCTATCTAGGTAGTCCCCAGCACGGGCATTGGTACATGGGATTTTACTGGCGAGATTAGATCCTATGTTTGAGAAGAAGTCGTTTATCTTGTTAGCTGTATCAGTGGGATGCAATGGTGTTCCATTAGGTTTAGTTAGGACAATATTCTTGTTTTTTTTCAGTTTGTGGGTCCCCAGAATCTGGGAAAGTGTTTTCCAGGTCTCTTTTTATATCTCCTCTTGTGTCAGTGAATCTGCTGGAGTAGTACAGTTGTTTGGCTTTCTTTATTAATTTCGTGAGAACTGTTGAATATTGTTTAAGAATATCTTTGTGTATTAAGCCCTGTCTATATTGCTTTTCATATTGGTGTTTCTGAATGCTGCTGGTTAGCCATGGGCAACCGAGCCGTTTATTCGTGGTCTGTTTCGTTTTTATAGGACAATGTTTGTTGTATAGTCTAAGTATTTTGTTAAGAAAAATGCCTGTCCAATCGTCAATACCATTGGCATTGGAGAATTCTGTAGGCCAGTCAACAGTCTCTAGGTCTGCTGTGAAATTCCTTACTGAGGCCTCGTCATGGAGTCTAAATGAGACTTTGTTGTATTCGAGTGATGGCTTACTAATGTTTGTTAAGAGGAAGGTTAGGTAGTGGTAAATAGTGTTGTCTGTGATTATCCCTGATTTAAGGGGGGGCTAGTATATTGGTCCATATGTGGTCTATTATGGTTGCACTTGTCTCAGTCAGCCTGGTTGGTTTAGTTATTTTCATTATTATTATTATTATTATAATAAAAAAGAAGCGCTAAGTCACAAGGGCTATACAGCTGGTTTAGTTATTGTTGGTATGAAAAGTGTGTTGTTCATATTGTTGATGAAATCAGTTACAGTCTGATCATCTGGTAGGCCAAGGTTGATGTTGAAGTCACCAGCTAAGAGAAGGTGGTGCTTGTTCATTTGTCTGTTTGTTATTAGTGCCTTTATGTTTATTAGGTTATTAAGGTAATATCAGTGCTTGTGGACTGTCTTCCAATGCTTTAATATTCAATGTTTTTTAATAATATTTGTTTTTTTCAGTTTCTCTTGTGTCGGCGAGAGACGCCTTTTTGCGCGACCCCTAAAATTGAACGAAATCTCCCGGAAATTGGTCTGAATGTTACTTTTTGAACAGTGTAATAAAATAAGACTTGTGGGGCGAACAATTTCACAACTATTTTTTTTTGGAACCGTCTAATATATATGTATATATATATATATATAGGTAGTAGGTTGGTAGACAGCAACCACCCAGGGAGGTACTACCGTCCTGCCAAGTGAGTGTGAAACGAAAGCCTGTAATTGTTTTACTTGATGGTAGGATTGCTGGTGTCCTTTTTTTCTGTCTCATAAACATGCAAGATTTCAGGTACGTCTTGCTACTTCTACTTACACTTAGGTCACACTACACATACATGTACAAGCATATATATACACATCCCTCTGAGTTTTCTTCTATTTTCTTTCTAGTTCTTATTGTTTATTTCCTCTTATCTCCATGGGGAAGTGGAACAGAATTCTTCCTCCGTAAGCTATGCGTGTTGTAAGAGGCGACTAAAATGCCAGGAGCAAAGGGCTAGTAACCCCTTCTCCCGTATAAATTACTAAATTTAAAAAGAGAAACTTTCGTTTTTCTTTTTGGGCCACCCTGCCTTGGTGGGATACGGCCGGTTTGTTGAAAGAAAAAAAATAATATATATGTATATATATGTATATATATATATATATATATATATAATATATATAATATATATATATATATATATATATAATATATATATATATATATGTATATATATATATATATATATATATATATATATATATAATATATATATATATATATATATTATATATATATATATATATATATAATATATATAATATATATATATAATATATATATATATATATATATATATATATATATATATATATATATATATATAATATGTCGTGCCGAATATGTAAAACTGGTCAATTAGCAAGAACTCATTTAAAATTAAGTCCGTTCTAAAATTTTCTCTTATACGTTTAAAGATATATTTTTTTCATTAATGTTGATGTAAAAATTTTTAATTTTGCACCAAAAGAGTCTTAGAAAACTTACCTAACCTTGTTATAACAAGAACAATTTATTTTACCCTAACCCAACTAAATATATTTTAGATTTGTTTACAATAATTTAATACTAAACAAACACAGCGAAATATTTTTTCATTAGGTTCAGAATGATTTTTGGCGAAATTATTGCATATACAAATTTTCACTTGTCCTATATGGCAAAATAAGCGTTGCTATTTAAGCCAAGATCGCAAGTTCTGCTATTCGGCACGACATTATATATATATATATATATATATATATATATATAATATATATATATATATATATATATGTAATATATTATATATATATATATAATTACTTTATAATTAATAAAATCAACTGGAGCATTTTAAATAAGCTATCAGTTATGTTAGGAAATAAAATTTTTCTGTCTTGAGAGGATTTATGGCCCGGTCTCCAGGTCAACTTCAAGGCTCTGATCATGTGCTCAGCGCTCTACAGATCTCAAATTTTTACTTCTACTGTGGAAAAGGGCTCAGTTTAAGGTTAACATGTGTCCACCTTCCTAGATCACAGCTACACTAATATCTCTGGTGGGAACCATAAGCTGTAGGTAATACTATTATGTTAATTTTCTAGAATTGTTATTAGGATTACATTTGCTTGCTAAAGAAATATTCATAATCTTGAATAAGAAGACACTTGTGCAACATTTGGGAATCTTTATTGTAGAACGTTTCTCTAGTCAGTGGCTTCTTCAGTCCAATACAAAGAAGAACGGTGGAAGATGAGGAGGAGTTTGAGGTAATCAGTCCCTCAACCTCGAGGCGAGGCTGAGGGACTAACCACCTGTAAAATACTACTTCAGAGTTGATGGACTAGCAGCATCATTTTCACCTCTCCACTCTCCCTATTTAGTTTTCTCTGTATCTGACGGAAGGAACCTCCCATGTTGACCACACGTTTCAAGAATGAAGATACCTAACTGATGTACGAGTGTCTTACTAATCTGCCTGTCAATAATAATATCTTTATTTACTAAAAGTACATGTACAAGGTATACAGACCATAGTTGACATCAGCGACATACTACTGTATAGAAAGCCGCTTGTTATGCTGAGCATTTCCCGCAAATTAGGTCAATTTTGTCCCAGGATGCTACCCACACCAGTCCACTAACACCCAGGTACCCATTTTACTGATGTGCAAACATAGACAACCGGTGAAAGGAAACACGTCCAATATTTCTGCCCTTTCGCCGGGAATCGAACCCGGACATCACCGTGTGAAGCGAGAGCTTTCGCCACCAGGCCACGGGGCAGTCCAATTTCATACTTGACTTACTCTTAATATTAGTGTGTTGAGACAGTCTTCGTTATTTACGTAATGTGAGAACTACGTGTTAATGTTCAATATTATATGAGTCATACTGGTCCATTTTCTAAGTGACTGCTTAATGGAAAATGGGTAAATCTCGCATTACCCTATAAGAAAATCATGTTACTTGCGTACTTAAAATCATGCTATAGCTCCTTGGCCTGCTTCAGATGTTATTACCAGCAGGGTTGATACTATGTTCAGAGAAGACATTACATTTAATATTTCCAGCATTCAAATTGAGATTTGCCGGGAAACTTGTGACTTATTACCAAACTTATAAGAGAGTTCTGCTTGCTAGGAGTTGGAATTCTTAAGTGATTTGCGACTGTCACTCTTCACTGTCTTCCCAAACACTAACATGCTCCGAGTGAGTGCAAGCTCATGTTCTTCACATGGATCCCTCTTGTACAGAGGTGACCAGTGACTTGTATTATCCTTCACCAAGTATAAACAGCAATATGTACACTATATACACTATGTACAGCAATAAGTATTAGTGCATGCCACGGTAGTCAACGCGAAGAAGCTGCCAACAGAACAGCAGACCACCATGCTTCAACCAGCTTTAGAATGGAAAGGACAAGGGTAAAAACGTGCGTGATAACCACATCACCTTTACAGTTGCCAGATCCACATTATTATTGGTTGAACCTAGACAATGCTCTGACGATGGGGCCCCGATCGTCCGACCCTTTGTATCTGGTTTGCTGGTTGGGGAGGTTACGTACTTTTTGCATGCCACACTTTTACCTGGAGTTCATTACCTTTGTAAATTGTGAGTTCATTACCTTTGTAAATTATGAGTTCATTACCTCTGTAACTTGCTCAGCTATCAAAACCTTGGGGTCCAGTCCCTGGACCAATTATGTACCTCTGTAATCTTTTGACTACCGCCCACGGAATGGGTATGGGGTGCATAATAAACATATTAAACTAACACACTTCCAATAAAATGCCGGATAATAATGTACTAAGCAGACATTTGAAGAATGAAAATGCACAATACCTGCACATAAGAGAATTAAATTTGTGACAACATTTCGATCCGACTTGTACCATTAACTAATCACTAGTTAATGGTCAAAGGCAGACAAATGTATCGTGACAGCTCAAAGATTGGTGAAATAAAGAGGCTGATATCAGGTAATCATCTTTATTGATACATTATTCTTAAGGCTGGGCATAACTGAGTACACAGGAAGAAGCAAATACACCTCCTTTCAGAGGGTATGGGTACCCTAGTTTAGCTGCTACGCAGGTTGATGGCAAGTGATTCTGTTACTCACATAGACTCGATAATATTTATATATACATAAATCTTGAAGGCCTATGGCTGCGAGAATGCCTAGAGCCAAGATTTGTTCCGGCTCTGTGAGGTAGAGCTGTGTAATGGATAGGCCTAGGACAGAAGCTAGAGGCACGCAGCATTTAAGGAAGGAAGGTTTAGCTGTGAATTCGTAATGACGGTGAGAGCATCATGTGTCGAGTGGAACACTAAGTCTTTACTAATGACCTCCAGTGCTCCACACCTCGCCAGGCGCTCCTGTACACGCTCTGAAAACACATTTCTTACGTTAAAGAATGAAGAAGACACAACACTAATAACATGCACATAAAAAAGTATGACGACGTTTCGGTCATACTTGGACCATTAATTAATAACACAGATTAATTGGTCCACGCCGGACCGCAATGTTGTAACTTTCACTGTTTTACGTCCGGTTGTTATATTTATTGTATGTTACTTCTGTTAGTCTTGGGGTGTAATGTTAAATACTTAATAAGTACAATGAACACTTAGTGAAAATTCAGATGAGCATCGAGCTACAAAATCGCTACAATTACATTTAAAGAGGTTACGAAGTTCATCTTTCAGCTGTAACTGCTGGTCAATTTAAGTCTCACAAAAAGATATTTATAGTAAACACAACTGACTATAGAATTAATGTAGCCATTGAATGAAATTTGTTCATAATGACGTTCACAACGCAGGTATAGTTCAAGCAGCGTTCACTACCAATAATTCCCATATGAACTATGTGGAAAGTTCAAAATTATGAACAAATAAGTAGATAATAACAGAGATAGGGCACACTGGAAGACTTAGTTGACGGTACACTTGGCTTGGCCAACAAGATTTTTTTTCCATGTCTGAGGTTTGAAGATGTATGTATTAATATTGGTAGAATTATCGGCAATATAAGAACATAAGAAAGAAGGAACACTGCAACAGGCCTACTGGCCTATGCGAGGTAGGTCTAATGGCAACGTCTCGCTCTCCAGGAGCCGAAAGGGTTGTCTCCGTGATGGAGTCCTTTGTGTTATTCTTAGTGTAACCTTACGGGTTTTTAGCCTCTCACTACCGAGGCGAAGATAGCCAACTCACCTGATACAGCAACAAGGGGACAGTCAACTCGCCTGACACAGCAGAAAGGGGAGAGTCAACTCACCTGACACAGCAGAAAGGGGAGAGTCAACTCACCTGACAGAGCAACAAAGGGACAGTCAACTCACCTGACACAGTAACAAGGGAACAGTCAACACACCTGACACAGCAACAAGGGGACAGTCAACTCACCTGACACAGCAACAAGGGGACAGTCAACTCGCCTGACACAGCAACAAGGGGACAGTCAACTCACCTGACACAGCAACAAAGGGACAGTCAACTCACCTGACACAGCAACAAGGAAACAGTCAACTTACCTGACAGTAACAAGGGAACAGTCAACTCACCTGACACAGTAGCAAGGAGACAGTCAACTCATCTGACATAGCAACAAGGGGACAGTCAACTCACCTGACACAGCAACAAGGGGACAGTCAACTCATCTGACACAGCAACGAGGGGATAGTCAACTCATCTGACACAGCAACAAGGGGACAATCAACTCACCTGGCATAGCAAGAGGAAAGTCAATTAATCTGACACGGCAACACGGGGACAGTCAACTCACCTGACACAGCAACAAAGGGATAGTCAACTAACCTGACACAGAAACAAGGGGACAGTCAACTCACCTGACAGAAACAAGGGGACAGTCAACTCACCTGACACAGCAGCAAGACACAGGATGACACCACTGTCACCCAGTTCCTTGTGTAGACGAGTCAGTAGCTTGGCACCTGTGGTATCGACGTAGGTGACACCACTCATCTCCACCACCACCCACTCCACAGCCTCCACACACCAATATAACATTAACAACTAACACACAAAGATAACATTAACACACAAAGATAACATTAACACAAAGATAACATTAACAACTAGCACACAAAGATAACATTAACACACAAAGATAACATTAACACACGAAGATAACATTAACAACACACGAAGATAACATTAACAACAAACAAAGATAACATTAACAACACACAAAGATAACATTAACACACGAAGATAACATTAACACACAAAGATAACATTAACACACAAAGATAACATTAACAACTAACACACAAAGATAACATTAACAACTAACACACAAGGATAACATTAACAACACACAAAGATAACATTAACAACTAACACACAAAGATAACATTAACAACTAACACACAAAGATAACATTAACAACTAACACACAAGGATAACATTAACAACATACAAAGATAATGTTATCTTTGCATGTTGTTAATGTTATCTTTGCGTGTTACTTGTTAACATTAACAACATACATAGATAACATTAACAACATACAAAGATAACATTAGCAACTAACACAAATATAACAGTAACAACATACAAAGATAACATTAACAATTAACACACAAAGACAACATTAACACACAAAGATAACATTAACAACATACAAAGATAACATTAACACACAAAGATAACATTAACATACAAAGATAACATTAACAACACACAAAGATAACATTAACAACATACAAAGATAACATTAACACACAAAGATAACATTAACACACAAAGATAACATTAACATACAAAGATAACATTAACAATTAACACAAAGATAATGTTATCTTTGTGTGTTAGTTGTTAATGTTATCTTTGTATGTTGTTAATGTTAAATTTGTGTGTTGTTAATGCTAACATACAAAGATAACATTAACAACACACAAAGATAACATTAACACACAAAGATAATGTTATCTTTGTGTGTTAGTTGTTAATGTTATCTTTGTGTGTTAATGTTATCTTTGTGTGCTGTTAATGTTATCTTTGTATGTTGTTAGCATTAACAACACACAAATTTAACATTAACATACAAAGATAACATTAACAACTAACACACAAAGATAATGTTATCTTTGTGTGTTAGTTGTTAATGTTATCTTTGTGTGTTAGTTGTTAATGTTATCTTTGTATGTTGTTAATGTTAAATTTGTGTGTTGTTAATGCTAAGAACATACAAAGATAACATTAACAACACACAAAGATAACATTAACATACAAAGATAACATTAACAACTAACACACAAAGATAACATTAACATACAAAGATAACATTAACAATTAACACACAAAGATAACATTATCTTTGTGTTAATTGTTAATGTTATCTTTGTATGTTAATTGTTAATGTTATCTTTGTGTGTTAATTGTTAATGTTATCTTTGTGTGTTGTTAATGTTAACAACACACAAAGATAACATTAACAACTAACACACAAAGATAACTTAACCACAAAAGATAACATTAAAAAAAAAGATAAATTTAACAACACACAAAGAAAACATTAAAAAACACACAAAGCTAACTTTAAAACAAAAACACACAAAGAAAACATTAACAATTTCGCTAACAACACTGAAAAACTGCGGTAATTCCCAAACTCTCTAAAGAAACTTTCTGAAGCGATGCAACTATATAAATTTTTTTAAGACATAGGATAGATTTTTTTTTTAAATTTCCCATTATTGTAGACATATTTTTTAATAATACTTTTTATATTGTTCATTAGAAAACTCAACAAAAAGTTCAGTCAACTGAATTTAAAATGACAATTTTTAATGCAGGATATATACACTGAAGGTGTAATGTCTGTCGTGTGTATACCTGAGAGCTGTATCAGCATAGTTGCTGTCCCCTGAAAAGTATAAGTTATCAGTATCATAGAAATCATCCATATGTTTTACATAGTTGAACCCTGCTAGGTCAGGACTAACATGTTGACGTTCACTGAAGCCGCATGTTAGCGCTCACTCCCACCTCTCACTCCGCCTTAGTCTACGAAAAAGGGCAACACAGGCAGTCTGGGCTCCCTTTTCAACACTCTGATAATGTAAGTGTTACCATTCAACAATTTGTTTATTTCCAAGCATAATATTCCACGACCCTCCCAACACTGTATGTCTGTCAAGTATATACACTATGTCTCAGTGTAATACAAGGCGAGCAGATGACCCCAGACTTGTAAAGGTCATGGGAACCAACCCCCCATCCCCCATTAATTTGTATTCATCGTCTGAGAGAATGTTGAACTGTTTTCCCTTATTTTGAAATCACCAAATTTACTGTGATCTTATTGCATATATATATAATATATATATAAATATATATATGTATAAATATAGTAATTAATATTATGTATATATATAATGTAAATATTATGTATATATATATATGTATATATATATATGTAATAAATTTTATATAAAATATGTATATATATATATATATGTATATATATATATGTATAATATATGTATTTTTATATATAATATGTAAAAATATATATTATATATTATATATGTATATATATGATATTATATATATATAAATAATATATTATATATATATATATATATATATATTATATAAAAATTATATATATATATATATATATTATATAATATTTTAATATATATATTTTATATACATATATATATTTTATATATATATATACATATATATATATAAATAATATATATATATATACATATATATACATATATAATAAACATATTTTTAATATACATAATATATATACATATATATATATACATATATATAAATACATATATATAATATATACATATATATATATAATAATATATATTATACATAAAATATATAAAATATTAAATAATATATACAATAATATATATATACATATATATATATACATATATATAATATATATACATATATAATATATATCAATAAATCACAGTAAACAGGTGATTTAAAAATATAAAAACAACACTCTGAAAGAATAGAGAAATTCAACGCTTTCGTGACTACTCACATTATCAAGGAACTATAAAGTGAAGCATCCAAGGAAGCTATTATAGGGGTCGGCAGCACCTCACATAAAAATCCCACAACGTTAAACACGTGACGCGGGCGAGCCAACTTGGATAGTTTGCTCCCCCAATTTTTATTTAGTTATATAACATTAAAATCTTTTTAAATAAGAACATTATTAAACAAAGGCAATACAAAACTGTTTTAGAACAAGTTTATTATATTTGTCCCAGACTGCTTGATACTACTCACTTAAAACTTGAAGTTAAAATCCTACATGAAAAATGAGCATTTTTCATTCAATCAAAATTAAATGGGACCTCAATTTTATATACCGTTGAAATATTCAATCAAAATTTAGTCAAAATTTTCTTAAAAAAAGGACGTTTTATAAACAAAAAAAATTCAATTATTTACTGCCTTTTTGAAACAATTCTAATATATTCCTATTGCTGGATACTACTTCATAACTTTTGAGAAACAATTGGATTGTTTAAAATTTTTAAAGAATAAATAAGGCTTTGGAATCTTGTCATTTTTGCTATTTTAAATATTTTTTAATTTATTCGGATTTTTACCAGTTTTTACCTATAAAACTTATGAAATTTTACAAGGGAATTTTTACAGCAAATTATGTTTTGGGGGAATTTTAAAGTTTTTTTTCTGTATCAAGGATTTTGATACAACTTTTTGGCATAAGAAGAAAGGCATATCACAAGGTTTCCGTGGGAACCAAATTTTATTGAATGCTGGTTCCCTTTTTTTGGATTAAAAAGTGTTTCCTAGAACTAAAAGGATTATCCAATTACATTTTTGGGTTTTACATCCCTTTTCATAATTTTGGAATTTCCTCATCTATGAATGGGACTAAAATTGTAAAGTTTAAAAAATTGATAGAAAAGACATGCCTTTTGATGGGAAAATAGTGTGGAACGTAGGTTTTCTGAAATTAAATTGAATTCAATCTTACATAATTAAACTAGAAAGGGGAATGATTTATTTTCTTCAAACTCACATGTAAAGTAAAAAGGGTGCCTAAGCTATTTTATTCAAGAAATGTTATTTCGTTTTTCTTTAAGAACAAAATACACACAATTGAACATTTTACCTTTTTGAGGATTGTTGCACCTTGTTTCTTTTAAATGTATCATGAGGAGTTACTAAGAACAGGGTTGAAAGAGGAATTTTCCCATTGATACAAAAATTTGTTGAAAACATAATCTTGAAATTTACAAATTTATCAGGAGGTGCAAAGTTTAATAATTTAATGTAGTGGAACAGGAATTGGAAAATCATAGTTAACAGTTTTTCAGTGGAAGACTTTGCTAAAAGGAACTTGAAACAAGGAAGTAATCTCAAAATTAAAACCAGTTAAATCATTTGGTCAGTGACTTAAAGTTTGGTAACAAGCATTTTGTTTTAGTTAACATTAAATTTTAAATAAATTAGACACATGTGAAACCCTTTTGGGTTATCTTTATTGAGGAAAAACGTTTCGCCACACAGTGCTTATCACATCAAAAAGCATCCATACATTGGGAGAAAATAGATCAAGGGAGAATTGATTAAAACCCTCAACTTCAAGTTCACTATGTTGGCAAAACTGAAGAATCTTGCATGAGCGAAAGCATCTATAAAGTACAAGAGTTGCATCATGATAGTGTCAATTTATCATGGAAAGTAGGTTTGTGAAGATTAGCAACGAAAATTCTAAGTAAAGATCCCAAGAATTGGGTCTAAATTTTAGGAATGTTCAAAACCTGATTTTGGTAAGACATTCAACCTTATTCTTTTAAATAAGGAAACTTTTGGCCACTAACTGGTTCTGTCCATACTAGGTAAAGCCTGCTATCTCCGCTCATCTGCCTATCTACTCAAGATTGAGACGGAAAACTGAAACATCGACTCAAGTTGAGGGACTGATTACCTCATTCTCCTCCGTGTTCTCTCAAGTTTCTCCTATGTAGGGACGATGAAGCCACTTG